TTATCATGACAGTGCCTTCACGTTGTTCCGTTTTACAGCAGTGCTTACAATCGGTTTGACAGGGTCTTCTGGATAAACCGTCTGCGTTACCATGCATTTTTCCAGCACGATGTTGGATGGTAAAGTGATACTGTTGGAGCTTCTCGAGCCATCGTGCTATTTGACCTTCAGGTTGTTTCATCTCCATAAGCCACTTGAGAGCCGCATGATCTGTCCTAATTAAAAATTCTTGGCCGTACAGATATTTATGAAAATGATCAACTGCCTTCACAATTGCTAGCAGCTCCTTCCGGGTAACGCAGTAATTCCTTTCTGGTTTGGATAGAACTCGACTGTAATATTCTATCACTCGTTCTTCGCCATCTTGCACTTGTGATAGCACTGCACCTATGCCGATATTGCTGGCGTCGGTATCCAGGATATACCTCCCTTGTTGTTGCGGGTAGGCTAGAATAGGACTTGAACATAAAGCCGCCTAAGTCTTCCAAAGGCTACATCACAATCGGTGTTCCATTCGTAGCCGACTTCATCACCTGTAAGTCTATGTAAGGGTGCAGCTATATTGGCAAATCCCTTGACAAATCTTCTGTAATAGGTGCATAAACCCAGAAAACTTCTAAGTTCATGTTTGTCGCGAGGTTTAGGCCAATCCTTGATTGCAGCGATTTTCTTCTGGTCAGTGTAAATTCCGTCTGCTGAGACTACATGGCCCAAAAATTCCACTTGTCGCTGGAATAAGCTACACTTCTTCGGGTTCAAGTACAGGTGAGCATTCCGTATGCGGCCGAAGACTTCTTCTAGATTCGCAAATGCTCCTCAAAAGTTCTTCCCATAACCAATACATCGTCGAGGTAAACCAAGCACGTTTTCCAAGTTAATCCTCTTAACACCACCTCCATGAGACGTTCGAAAGTGGCTGGAGCATTGCATAATCCAAACGGCATGACCTTGAATTGGTATAGTCCGTTTCCTGTAGAAAAAGCCGTCTTTTCTTTGTCTTCCTCGTCCAGACCAACTTGCCAGTATCCACTCTTTAAGTCGAGAGTGGAGAACCAGCACGAACCTGCCAGTGTGGTTAACGTGTCGTCTATACGTGGCAGTGGGTAGCTGTCCTTCTTAGTGACGTCATTGAGCTTCCGATAGTCCACGCAGAATCGTGTACTACCATCTTTCTTCGTCACCAAAACAACAGGAGATGACCATGGACTCGATGATTCTTCGATAACTCCATCTTCTAGCATCTTATCTACCATTGTCTCCATTTCTTGTTGTTTGGAAAGGGGCACCCTTCTAGGACGTTGTCGAATCGGCTGAGCATGACCAGTATTAATCCGGTGCTTCACAAAATCCGTTCTTCCACTGTTGTTCTTCTCAAAAATACTGCCATGCTTTAGCAGGAACTGCTTAGCCTTCTGTTTCTCCTCAGGTGTTAGGTGATCCCATGGCTGTTCTAGATGTTTTAGTGTTTCTTGGGATGCCTTTTGTGTAACAGCTGACGACACTTCATCACATCGGGTGACACTTCTTACAGGTTCGCAGATGGCTATCTTGTCACCTTTTTTAATCTTGACACAATTCGGGAAAACATTCGCAACTCTGATCGGTATATTCTTGTCGGTGTTCACCAATGACTTTCCTACTAAGTACCTATCTTGTTTGTTGTCGCTACTTTGTACCAGTCCAACACAGCACCCAGCGATTTTCTCCACTTTACCGAATACGATTTTCTCGGTATTACCAGGTATCACCATAGTTTCCGCTGATCTTACATCCATTCTGCCTGGTCCCTCGTCTGGAGATAACATGAACTCTTCATTTCCAATATTTAAGATATTTCTCTGGTGATCGAACGAAAATCCATGTTGACGAATCACATCCATGCCCAAGATGAAGTCATCTTCAATATCTGCCACTAAGACGCTATGCTGAAACTTCAAATTTCCTAACTTCAGTTCGACGATAGCCTCTCCCCGTACAACGGCCATTTCCCCGTAACTGTACGTAAACACTCTTCTTCCCAGAGGCATCAGCTTCAATCCTTGCACTGAGTTAGCCCGCACCAACGATACCATAGCGCCAGTGCCACTGTCATTCGGATTCTCCTACCATTGACCTTCCCGTCGATCACTAAACTGTCAGCGGTTCTTCCCAGACTCCTAATGGAAAAAATCCTGGGGGCTCTGTTCTCCCCAGTCAATACTCGCCCCTTAGTATTGACTGATTTTAGTTTTCCTGGTGCCTACGTTCTCTGGATGGTGAACGGGATCGCATTTGAACGCGGCAATCCCGTTTGATGTGGCCATTCCTGCCACATCTAAAGCACCTTATGTCCTGTGATCTTCTATAGCTCTCTGTCTGGGTGTTGTTGCTACTCTTGTTCACTAGTAACTCACATAGTTTACTAAACATCTCCTCCAAACGTATGTGAGAACTTCCGGGCTGTTCCTCAACCGTTACCGATCTTATCTTCGGTCTAGGGATGGCGCTAAATGCAGCTTCGATTTCCAGCGCCCTGACCAGTGCTTCGCTGCTGGTAGAAAATCGGGATATTTGCAGCGCCCTCTGTAATTCGTTGTCCCTCAGTCCGCTGATAAAGCACTGAGCAGCGAGTTCCTCCCTAAATCCTTCCGGTGCTTCAGGATACGCTAGGTGTACCAGCCGACGTAAGTCTGCTTCAAATTCCTGCAGACTCTCTCCGGACCTCTGCAGGCGTGTCTTGATCTGGGCCTGGTAAAGTTGACGTCGATGTTGGTCGCCATATCTTCTGTCCAGTGCAGCGACCAAGGTTTTGTATTCCTGCTGTTGGGCTGCAGGAATAGTTTGCAGCAGTTCCAGGGCAGGGCCGCGCAGCGCGATGACAAGTGCCGCTGCTTTCTCCTGGTCAGTCCATCCATTGGCAGCAGCCGCTGCTTCAAACTGGCGGTGGTACATCGTCCAGGTGGTTTGTCCATCGTAGGTCGGGGCCTTGAGGTTCGCAGTTCCATGAACGCCAGGTGTTCTTACTTGTGCCTTGGTCTTCTGTAGGTCCATCTCTAATTTGTCCATTTTCTGCTGAAGGCGTTCCTCAAGATCCTCTACGGCTTCTTGAAGTTGATTTTCCTGCCGTTTTTCCAGGTCTTCAAAATTCTTCTGTAGTCGAAATTCCTGATTTTCCAAAGTTTTCTTAAGACGGTCCTGATCTTCAAATTTTTCTTTCTGGCGACGCACTTCTAAATCTTCAACAATTTTCTCCAATCGTTCTTGTCTAATTTCTTGATTTTCAAGAATTTTCTGAAGCCGGTCCTGTTCTTCTTGTTTGTCGTGCTCTCGTTGAACTTTGAAATCTTCGAGAATTTTCTCAAGCCGGTCCTGTTCTTCTTGTTTGTCTTGTTGTCGTTGAATTTTCAAATCTTCGAAAATTTTGTCTTGCCGGTCCTGTTCTTCTTGTTTTCTTTCTTTTTTTGACGCGCTTCTAAACTTTCTAACATTTTTCTTGATTTTCCATAAGTATTTTCTGTAGACGGTCTTGTTCCTCTTCTTTCTCTCTTTGCAACCTCTCTTGTTCTTCTGCCTTTTCTCTTCTCATATTCTCCATAAAATCGCCCAATAATTTGCTTACTTCCTCCATTTTCTTCGCCTGCTCCCTTGTACCAACCATAAAAATACTCTAATTCGGTCTAAAAATCTTCTAATCCACTTAATTTTTTCTTAAAATCCTCTTGAATCCCACTTCTGACACCAATTGTTACGGACTCCGTGGGTCCACTATTTAAACTCGCGATAAAATACTTAACGAATTTATTTTCTCACTTTATACACAATTACTAACTTATAACACACAACAAACTAACTATTTATAAGATTCCTTCACCAAATTGTCCGATTTTCAATTTCCACGCGGTATATTCAAATTTCAAAAACTGTCTCAGTTGTCGATGGCTCCGGCTTATATACTCTATTGACTGCTTCTCGAAATTTCCCCAATTCTCGGAAAGCGTACTTCTTCATACCAGACAATTCTATTGTCTGATTCCCTTACTTCTCGACTTGACTAAAAGATGGCGCCTGAAAAAGTCTTTTAATTTCTGGCGGATACGTTGCGGTTGTGCAGGCAACCAGAAATACATTTTTAATTTCTGGCGGATGCGCCATTTTTCTTGACAATATTTACATTACCTCACAATAAGGCTCCACTATTTATACACAAAATACAATTATAAACAACTACTCACTCACAATAATAGCTTGAGAATTACTGCTTAAAATTTGCTAGTATATCTGAGATATTTTTATGATATAATGTATTTCGATTGTCATAAGTACAACATATTTATATTATTGAATGTTGATTTCTCAAATCAGATAATCGTTTATTTATTCTATTTATCACACCAACTGCTTTAAAAATAAATTCGCATTTAGGAACGGTATACAGGGTGTTAAAAAATATGTACCATCTCTCGTGGGTAGATTCTTTACGTAAAAATATGATCTATTTTTTATATCAACATAGGTCCGATCCTGCCTTGTTTCGTAGCTACAGTGGGTTAGATTCTTCATTTTTTTAAATCCTAATCATAAAAATATTTTGTTGTATACAGGGTGTCACAAAAAAGTTGTGATAAAGTTTTAATTTTTTTTAAATTGCACCTCCATTTTTCTGTAGATAATTGAATTTCATCGCTAGTGAATTAACTTTTCGGTCGACGATAAAATACCATTTTATCGTCTTGTACCGTATGATCGAATAAAAACGGCGTCCAGTTGGCTTGGAAATGACGATCGATGGCATTTCCTATATAAATTTACATATAAAATGACAGCGATCTTCATTTCATAGCCATCGCTGACGCCGTTTTTATTCGATCATACGGTATAAAAAAATAACTATAATTGAGAAAAAATCTCGGCTAAGATTTTTTAATCAATTTGAAGTATTCAATAGAAATTAATAAATTCAATTAGATGTATGCCAATGTATGCGTAAGATAAAGTAAAAAAAAATAAAACAAAAAACTTACTGTATTCTAAAAAGAACTCAAATCCTCCAGAATCAGTTCGATGCCATCCCCCTTTCATACATTCAATCGTTTGGGGTTGAATTTTTACAGATACTTTAAGTACTATTTCCACTTAATATCTTACTTATATCGTGAAAATTAAAGCAACATTATTTTTTCAAATTTCGGAAACACTAGTAACAATAGACAACTCCAGACTCTTCAAAAAGTCTTAAATCTAAACCTTATTAAAGTGAAAACTGAAAGTATACTGGAGTCTGAAATATCTTAGGCTGATGGACCATACGGGTGGGAGTAAAAACTTGCTGTTTTCTGGATTATTTTTAGAAAAAATATTAATTCTTCTATGGGCCAAAATCTTAGCACTATCAAAGAGTTAATGGTGTGATTAATTAAGCAGCCTGTGTGTGTGTGGACATCTCCATTAATTAATGTTCGAACATATATATTTTCCAGTTTGTTATTTCTGTAAAACACGGTGGGAAACAAGCTTGAAATAATAGTTATTTTTAGTCTATCTTCAGAAAGATGTTCATATTGTTTGCCCCGAGTTAGAATAATAGGTCTCGTGTGGTTTTAGAAGATTTATTATCATACAATATATGTTTTGTTTTAAAGAATGTTTTGGTATGTTTTTTACAATACTGTATTACTCCAAAAAATCCTATATGGGTATTTCGCCACTACAAGAAAATCTACAAAATAAAATAGTTATTTTTTGTAAACACTTCTGCGTTAATCCCAAACGGAAACTAATTGTCAGAAGTTAGGTTTACAGATATACAAATTTGCCTAACGAACAAAAAAAAAATGCTTAACGTTTCAGAAAGTTTATCTCTTCCCGTCGTCGGAAGTAAAAAAAATACAAAGAATAAAGAAAAAACTATTTAAAATATTTAAATTCAACTATTCGAGAACACTTTAGTTTTTTAAAACAGATATACTTTTTAAAACACATATACGTCTACAAAAGCCGTTGACGTTCTGTTAAAATGACATAAAATTTATTCTGTACCCTGTGTCGCATGAATGCTGACAAATCTTAGATTTGTGAAAATCTCCCTTTCTTAAATAATCTTTATGTTCTTTAATTCGAACATTTAAGGGTCTAGATATTTAACCAATGTAAAATTTATCGCATTCGCAAGGTATTTGGTATATTACAATTTTTGTTTCTTGTTCTGTATTCATTGGTTTAGTACCTATGTGATAAAATGGAACTAAGTGTATTTTGTGTTTTGAAAGATGTTCGTAAGTTATATTGTTTTCCTATCCTTATTTTTTCCGAAACGCCTCGTATGTATGGAATTGTAAATTGTATATATTGTGTATTGTTATCATTGTGTCTATGATTTGGGGTTTGTATTTCGTTTAATGTTTTGTTAATTAAATATGGTGGATAGTTGTTTTTTATTAATGTATTTTTTATGTGGTTTATATCTCTGTTTAGTGAAAAGAAGCCCCAAATAAACTTTCCGAAACGTTAAGCATTTTTTTCTTCGTTAGGCAAATTTGTATATCTGTAAACCTAACTTCTCACAAGTAGTTTCCGTTTGGGATTAACACAGAAGTGTTTACAAAAAATAACTATTTTGTTTTGTAGATTTTTTTGCAGTGGCGAAATACCCATATAGGATTTTTTGGAGAGATGAATCCGCCACATAGGTAGGTATAGACATTTTTTATAATACTATATTATTTTTGCAATCTTTGTCGCAATAAAAAATGGACATGAGTATAAGTAAAGAAACGACCTTAGAGATGGTTTGGAAATGAAGATCGTTGTTAATTTTATATGTAAAAATTAGGGAAAAGTCGGGTAGTATCGGACATGATAACAAATCATCCCTTTAATAACAAAGTTCTGCAACAAAATCATATTCAAACGATTATTTTACATTTACCATACATACTGCCATTACTCGCCGACGAGTATTCGACACGCATCAGAAGATGATCACGCAAGGCGTTTTCTTTCATGAACTTTTCTGTGACTGAAAATCCCGATACGTGATGTTATCTGTCTACCTTACTCCGGACATTCAAAAATCTCATTGCTTTGTTGCTTCTTTACTTTTTGGTTGTCGCTGTTAACTGAGTTTACAATTCTTCTCCATTGAGTTCTATTGTGAGCTGCTTCTTCTCACTCATTCTGCATGTCAATCCCCTTTAAGTTTTCGTGGACAATGTCCTTGTACCTTTTCAGTTGTCCACCCGGCCTCCTCTTACCTTCTAAAAGCTCACCGTAAAGCAGAGATTTTGGTATGCGGTTTTCTTGCATTCTGCACACGTGACCAGCCCATCTTAAGCGGGATTTTGTAACATTTAAAAGAGATTTTACCATACATATCTAAAAACTAACAAACATAAATATTAAAAAATAAGTACAAGTATAAAAATCGGCCTTTTAAATATTCTAGAACAATTTTTTTTGTTGTTTGTTCTAGGGGGCCGATTTAGATGATTTTTTAAAAATCATGTAGCTAAATTATTTGACTTTTTAGTATCTCTTTCTAAATTAAAAATGAAAGTCTTTAATCTGTTAGTTATAGGAGGACAAACACAATGTTGATATTTTGGTTGTGAAGTTGAAACACTCTGTGGAATATGTTAAGACAGCACGGCATTTCTGATGATAGAAATTATAAATAATAATACAATAGTCATCAAAAAATAATAATGTACGGATTACTATGGTAGGTATATCATTATTATTACAATAAGCACAATAAATAATTACAATATGTATGCGAACTTTTTTTAATAATTTTTAATATAATAGTTTATAATTATTATAATGACATCTTAATCAAAATAATATTAATTCAGACTGATCGAGTGTATAATAATAATAATTAATATAAATAATTAATAATTGTTACAAATTCTTGCACATTTCGATTTGTGGTCTGTTGGATTTCAGAAGAAATTTGACCATTATTTTGGTCTTAAAATGCCTAGAAACGTTATTTCATAGTTTAATACAGTCAGAATAGTAATACTGTCTCAACAGGGCTAGCGGCAAGTTGCAATAGCTGAAATTGTAGGAGTTAACCAAAGCGATGTTTCGCGAATATTAAAAAAATTCAGGGAGACAAACGAGGTTACAGACCGGCCTGGAAGAGGTAGAAAGAGAGTTACTACTGCTGTGCAAGACCGTCAAATATCTTTAATTGCACGATGCAATCCCCTGCTTTCTAGTACTGCTATTAAAAATGAGTCAACTCGACTGATCTTAGCACAATAACAAAGTTAAAAAAATAATTTAATTTCCTAGAATATTTATCTTATCTCTATTAAACTTAATCACCATTTTCTTAATACCTTGTATTTAATTTAATTTTTGGAAATTAGCCATGTCTGTTTGATTGTAGGTAAATAAATCTCTATTGGGAGAGATAATACATTTGAAGTATGTTCATTATTTCAATAAGTTAAAAAAAATATTGAGATAATGAGCATATTATAATTAAGATTATTTCTTTACCTATATGTTGTTCATTATTTATAAATTATTTATACTATGAACTCATAGAAAAGGAGCGAACACATCACTAATTGAACCAGAACTGTTCTGCTTCCCAAGTGGTAACCAACTAGAAGCGGAACTTTGAAAAAAGGTAAAGAGAAAATATGTTTCTTTAATCGAGATAATGAAATGGGAACCGTTGCAAGAACGGTCTAAGACACTCGAAGAAGTTTCTGAGGGCTTACGACCAAGAAACTTCAGAAGAAATTTGACCATTGTTTTGGCCTTAAAATGCCTAGAAACAGTATTTCACAATTTAATAGAGTCAGAATAGTAACACTGTCTCAACAGGGCTACCGGCAAGTTGCAATAGCTCAAATCGTAGGAGTTAACCAAAGCGATGTTTCGCGAATATTAAAAAAAATTACGGAGACAAACGAGGTTACAGACCGGCCTGGAAGAGGTAGAAAGAGAGTTACTACTGCTGTGCAAGACCGTCAAATATCTCTAATTGGACGATGCAATCCCCTGCTTTCTAGTACTGCTATTAAAAATGAGTTAACTCGCCTTGAAGGAGTAAATGTTTCAAGAAAGACCATAGCAAGAAGACTTTATGACAGAGGATTACATTTACAAAATTACGCGACTACAATGGGCTGAGGAGATGAAAGCAAATGGACCTAATTGGAATTTCGTCATGTTTAGTGATGAAACAAGAATAGGTCTAGTGTCAGACTCGCGACGAACTTTGGTCTGGGGAGCATCTGGAAGACGAGCACGCTTGAATGCAGTTCAGCCCCGTGTCCCGTTTCAAGGGGGAAGCATTATGGTATGGGTAGGTATAATGCACGGAGCTCGAATTCCTCTTGTTTTTATTGATGGCACAATGACAGGTGCCTCATATCTTAGAGACGTTTTAGAGTTTATTGTGCGTCCATTTCGAGGGGCAGTGGGGGATGAATTTGTTTACATGGACGATACTGCTCCTCCCCATCGCACTTTAGCGATTCGCGAATTTTGTAAGTAAGACGGTATAAGAAAACTGTGGTGGCCACTGATGTCTCCAGATATGAATGTGATCGAGCATGCTTGGGACATGCTAAAACACCATATTGCCAAAAGGAATAATGATCATGATCCCCTCCGTATCTTAAATGAATTGAAAATTGCTGCGCGCGAAACATGGGAAGCCATTCCTCAACATCTTCTGGACAACTTAATTGAGAGCATGCCACGTCGTCTCGCAGCATGCATTGAGGCTCGAGGAGGCAATACAGAATATTAGTTGTGAGAAATAATTAAAAAAAAAAACAATATTTTCTGTTTAAAATGAAATTTGTTTTTATTGATTTTCACTCATTATGAAATAAAATTATAATAACAGCCTAGTTGCACTTAGATTTATAATTTTATATTAGTTAGTCGTGTAGTAAGCCGATATGTCCAAAAATATAAAAAGAATCATATTAGGTCCAAAATAAAATAGAAATATCGTTATATGCAATAATTTTGGCCATGTGTGTATATGCTATTACAAAATAACCTAATTATACGATGAATAGCTAAAGAATGTGACATTGTTTAGCGTGCTGAAATATTTTCGTCTACTACTTCACTAAAATGACACTTGCGCCTATAAATCTTTTCCATTTAAATATGCAGACTGCGGCTGAAAAAAATAGAAAACAACAATGTCTAATCTGTCAG